CTGTTGCCCTGATTTGAGCAGGCCTGCATATTGAAGCAGTTATAAGCTGACAGCTGCGGTTGTTCAGTGAGACAGAGAGAGAAAGCTGAAAGTTGAATGTATAGGAAACAGTAAAGTTTAAGTGACCAACAGTTAAAGGAAAGTCTGAGTGTCATAACAAATGGGAGAGAAACAGTGAACACATATGGCATTGAGATAAACAAGTGTTACAAAGTTACATGAAAAGATCCCTGTCAGTGAGGGAGAAGATTGTGTGTGATACCAAAGCAATTGTTCATCATTTACACATTACTAGTTACATTGTACCACCCTCTTATTTAGTATTTATTTCAATAAATCCTCTTTTATCAAAGTTTATACCAGCTCTGAATGACCTACTTCCCAGGACCACATAGTTCCTCGTGAGCCTTGAACTCGGTCTACCAAACCAGTAAGCAAAAGTAAAAGCATAAAATTTCCTGGTGGCAGCAGATACCACCATAAACAGAACTCTCAGCGTCTCTTCTGGTTCTGCTCTCACAGTGCTCACAAACATACATTTTATTTGTTCATTTCTACAAATGAACTAAGGGGACCCAAAGTGGCTTCCATCGTTCTCCTCTCCTCCATTTTATCCTCACAACAACCTTTTGAGGTAGATTAGGATGAGAGTGTGTGACAGGCCCAAGGTCACCCCGGGAGCTTCCACGGCACAAGTGGGGATTCGAACGCTGGTCTCCCAGACACTAGTCCAACGCTGTTAACCACTACACCACACTGGTATGAGTACTACTACAGAAGCACCCCCAGAGCACACAGTCCTGCCTGCACATAGTCCTCCCCCTCTGATGCTTATTCCACCCAAGCCACCTCTTGTTTTGCTTCCTTCTTCCCGTCAGAAATTAGAATGTTGGTGAGCATTCTCTGATGCAACAGCAGCTTGACCAATGGCAATTAGTTTTTAGCCTGTACAGATGAGATGGCTAAGCCTTGGCAGGAAGATTCATTCTACAAAGGGGGCTTTTTGCAACCAATGGGTTCAGAGTCAGGACCCTTAATTAAATTGTGGAGCTCCACCTACTGGGTCATAAGCCCCTAAAGGGATACTATGGGGGGGGGGGGTTGTTTTTTGGAAATGGCCTGGCTTTTTTTTTCA